GAGGCGATTAGTAGCCTCTCGCGGTACGACGGTAAAGGCTGATTCTTATCGGACCGATGGATGTGAATCCCCGGACGACTGACTTCCGTCCCTACCGTGGTATGCAGGGGTGATTCCCGGTGCCAAGAGCGGCAAGACGGGATGGGGTATTCTCGGCAAGAAGGTGAGGGTGTCCCCCCACTGGAGTTTGGGTACCGCGCTCGCGACGGTTGAGCTGTGCTTGAGGTACGGGATAAAACTCTGCCGATAGTAACAGTGGAGAGACAACCTTTGGGAAAAGGCCGGTGAGGAGATGACCGGCCTGTGTGCGAGGATTGCCTGATTTTTCCTTTTGTGCTTCCCTCTGTAAAGTTGCTTGAGATTGGTGGGAAGGAACCAAGCCTTCTAAGTCTATTCTCGCTCCCTATCTAAGTCCTCACGAGTGAGAGACGATGGAAAAAAACGAGGATAAGAGTTATAAGGAAAGGAACCAAGAGAAGGAATGCCGGCGGATGGTGACCGACTTCGGGTACGACAGGGCAATGATACTTGGGAAATGGGCAAAGGGAAAATTTAGTGAGACCTTGATAAGGGGTCTAAAACAATTCTCATCTAGGACTATGGCTGACCTAACCGAGGGCCGATTGATGCTCTTTTTGAAAAAGCAGGACTCGACAACTAGGGAAGGACAAGATGGCTCGGTGGTTGTCCTCGCCAACCTACTCCGGCAGACCAGAGATGCCGGTAGACGTAAAGGGTGGGATGTCGGCTGTGATGTCGGAAAAAAGAACTTGGACGGACCTGGAGCCTGCATACCAAACCGTGATGCTGGTCGAAAGTGATGCCTTCCTATGAATCGAAACAATATGGACCAAGGTTAGTTTGACGAGGTTAGCGCTAAGCCTGCTGGACTTAGAGTTTCGGGGGACCGTGGAGGCCCGGGGATGAGTCTACTTGTCTAAGGAAAGGAAAACGCCATGATTATAGAGCTTGCCTTAGGAGTACTCCCGTACCAATTGTTCAAGGAGGCCGAGCGGGAAGTGGTGTGGGCTGCATGCCAGCGGGTGGAAATGGTGATGGAAGAGATTGACGTGTAGGTGGAACTCGGGGATAGAAGGAATGTACGGAAGCCCTTTAGAACTCTGAGGTGTGTCATGCCGCCCTTCATGGTAAACGTCGTCTTCGGGACCCAGAGTAGGCTGGTGCGGATATGCAGATCCATGACAAACCTGGGACTGTACCAAGGGGCCCGCCTTGACTTTTTCCGTCTGGCAGTCGAAATGGGGCCGTTTGAAGGGAACTGGGCAAGGGAGCTGGCCACGATACTGAACCATCTTAATGCGGACGGCCTGTTCGTTCCGAGCGACGTGCATTGGAAGATAGTATATAGGAATGTCGCGATAGGGGAGACGTTTCTGGAAGGGGTACAAGACCTCTGGTATGAGGAGGACGAAGACGACTTGAATGAGGAAGAGGGGATAGAGATTGAGGATTGAGATTTCTAAAAGAAAGGGGCTCGAGGATGAATGGCATGGGCGGATTGGGGTTGTGTAGGGGATCAAGGATGGCAAGGGAGCAAAGCATGATGGAACGGATGTTTAGAGGATGGACACCCAGGCGGTTCGGGGAAGGGGTGGAGATGGTCCTACCCACGAGGAACGAATGGAGAGGGACGGCTTGTGACTGGGTAGGGGTATAAGTCGTAACTGCCATGTCCTTTAGATGGGTAGAGAGAGTATGGAACCCGGTCAGGGAAAGTGAGGTGTGGGATGAGATAGCTGAGGGGGATGTGGAGTCACTCGGGACCGTGTACCTGTCAAAGGCTATGTAGATGATGTGTTTCTGCTATTTGAACGGGTCTGGATGTAAGAGTAAGCCTAGGGGCGTCGTGGAATGGGGGCTTGCACGCATGGGAAGGAAGGATAGCACAAGCACAATTAAGAAGCACGGGAGGGGGTTGTAGGACTAAAAGGAGAAACGTGAAATCGTGTTGGATGCAGCAGTTAGGGACCAGGAGCGGGAAGCGACGCGACATGGCCAGGCGAAGGACGCTCTGGGAGGATCGGCCCCGCGGAATTCAGCCGCCCCGGATCTCGGAAGGAAGGATGGAAGTTACCATGCCAACCAGGGGTGGGGTGCACAACCCGGTGATGGATTGGGTGGGGGTAGAGCTAGTAGAGGATACGGCGCGCAAGGGGGGAATTCGGGGGAGTGAGCCTGGATCTGCTAGGGCGTGTGCACGCCACGGGGTCCCTGTACCTATCCGAAGAGGGATGGCGGACCTTCGGGGTGGCCTTGGCTGCCGGCGGCGACCCCGTGCGGATTGTCGACGGGGCGTGGCAAGTAACCTGGAGGGAAGGGTTCGCGTTCGCAGATCCGGAACGGGATAATGTGACGACAACCGTTCGAGTGCTCGAAGTGGGGGCCTGCATCTTGCCCCTCAGTTTGCCGTCCTTCCTACTCGGCCGCTTGGGGGGAACGGAGCATGTTGAGCAGGCGGTATCAACCTTGAGTAGGCTAAACTTTAGTGACATGACGGTGTGCCAAGAGTATTACCGAGCCTTCTTAGAGCTGGGCCCTTTTGAAGGAGACCAGGAATATGAGGTGTTGAGAATCCTACATGTTGTCATAGCGACCAGGCCAGGAGTGCCCACGATAACTGAGGAAGTTTTGTGGGAGGCGGTTAGGCGCGAGATTGCTTGCGGCTTGACCTATGTGGACGATGTCTATCGACTATTCGAGGAGGTGGACGAATAAGGGCGTAGGGAAGGAGGAAGGGAAAATAGGGGAGATTGGTAGGAAACTAGAAACATGGCTGTGATATCAGGGGGAGGATATGGGAAAAATAAAAAGAGAGATTTTTTTTTATTTTTCTGTGTGGGAAACTTGCAGGGCAATGGCAAGAAGACGTGTCCGTACGGCACAGCGACCCGCGCACCCGCGACCATCCTTGGAAATCGGCAACGGATGGGAAGTGTCGCTCCTGACGAGTTACGAGGTCCGGGGAATAGATGTGGAATGACGAGCTGTGATCTTGGGGCAAAACCAGGCCTTCGTGTTGGTGGAATGCCTGTGGAGTGGGATGAGATTTAATAGGGGGCCAGGGGACGATCTGTAGACCAACCTCAGGGTGCCCAGGACTCTGTACCTCCCCGAGACCGGGTGGCAGATGTTGGGAATGGAATTGGCTTTGAGGCATGGGTTGTTACCGATTTTTCGGAGAGCGGCCAGGGCACTAAACCGGATAGGGCACGAGGTTAGGGGGAGAAGGAACGTGGGCTTAAGGACGCGGGTAGAAGTAGGGGGATGGCGGGAGTTCAGGGCCCCGACATCCGGCTTGCGCTGCCGGGTGCCCCGGTTCATGATAGACTTGATATTCGGAAGTCTCTCTCGGGCAAGGAAGTTGGTGAGTTCGACCGTAGTCTGGAACCACCACCTCCAACCGCAAACGACAGGGATATTTTACGACGTGGCAGTGAGGTACGGGCCGTTTTGGGGAAACCGGGCGCGTGAACTGCTTGAGCTCATTGAGATTTTAATATTTGGGGCGCCTCGCCTATCCTTCGAGGAATATGAGTCAATAGTCATTAGGGAAATTGAGATGGGGGAGAACTACCTTGCGGGAGTGGCGAGGATGTTCGAAAAGCCAAATGAAGAGAACGGGCCTGAGGAGTCGGTGTGAGCGAAACGTCGAGGAAGGCCGCAGGGATAAGGTCTTTTAAAAGGAACGGCGGAGATAAGGTTAATGAGCCGGCAAAAAGGCAGCGACCAGAGTCTTTTCTCGACCAGGGGTGTGGCAGGAAGGATGAGGATGGACGTGGCGACCAAAAGGGCGAAGAAAATGTCAGGGGCGAAAAAAAGAAGGAGGAGGGCCGACCACAAGGGTGGGAAAGTCTACCCACCTTGAGGGCGCCGCCCTCGAAACAGGGGAGAGGCAGACCGAGAACACCAGCCAGGGCCATTAGAATCGGTATGAAGGAATAAGTGGAGTTTTGTAGTAAATGAGGAAATTGTGAAATGATGTGGCAAGAGGAAAAGGGGGAGATTGTGGGTGAGAAAGAATCTGGGGGCTAAGGGAACCCTGAGGGCTGAGACCTACCTGTCGTGTTAATTTTTTTTTTTTTTTTTTCTATATACAGGGCTAGAGAGAAAAAGAAATGGCAACAGGCGAGGGTGTCGGAAGTCAACATGACGACGAGAACCTTGGTGTAGACGAAGATGTAGAGCGAGAAGAGGACGCCTTAGGGGACCGGGAGTCAGCTAAGTCGCTAGGGGCGAGAGAAGGGAGTAAGGAAATCGTCCCCGGTGGAAGCTCGGGGAAGGGCGGAGGAAGCAAGCAAGGAACCCAAGAAACTAAGGGGGTTAAAGACAAAGGCAGCCCAACACGCCAAAACCTGGAAGGCGCGAAACATAAGAAGGTAAGACTGGCAAATACGCGGAAGAGGCTGGCAGAAATAGAAAGAAGGACAGTAGAATTTAGGACAAAATTAATGGAAGAAATAATGAACGAGAGCGAGAGGAACTCGGCGGACAGAAGGATACGAGAGGAAGAGGAGGCAAGTCAAGGGAAAGGGGGTCAGGACGCAGACGCACAACAGAGGAAGGATGGGGCCAAGGATCTCAGGGGGACCCCAACGAGGAAAGAAAAGGAAAAAGCGGACTCTCCTGGAAGGGACGTAGAGAGACCTACCAGCCTCTCTTGGATAGTGGCGCGAGCCGACCTTCAACGTCCCCAACAATCGCTAGAGGGTGCGAGGGACTCTGGAGTCTGAGGGAGAGAGTGCTGGGATGGTTTGATCCGGAGGGGACTGCAAGGACGAGAGGAAGACTAGACACAAGCAAGGAAGATTTGAGAGTCAGATCGGCGGCAGGGTCAGGAATGGTCGATGGAGGGCTTAGGAAAGTTGTGCCATCTCTCACCGCGCGTTAAGCAAAAATCAGGGATACTTGGCCGACGCTAAGAAGAAACAGACTTTTGACGGAGCAAATATCACTAAGTTCCTGATAGATTATGAGAACCTGGCGGCACTCCTGAGGTGGAGTGAGGAAGAGAAGATGGAGCACTTAGGGTAACACGTGTCATTGAACCTAGGGAGGGACATAATGGCGATCGTCGCCACGAGTGGGTTGTGGAAGGAGGCTTGGGACATGATGATGAGAAAGTACTTGGCGGCCGAGAAGATGGCCACAGAAGCAGAATTGGCCGCTGTGCAAAGAAAGGATTTCGCAACGTACAATGACTTCCTGAGAGAGTTTACTCTCGTAGCGCTGCGCATCGCCGGGGTGACCGATCGAATAATGAACAAGTATTTCCTAAGACAATTCACAGAGTTCGATAAGAACGAAACCCTGTCAGACTACCAGCAAACCACAAAATTCCTGAACACAAGGGATGTTGACTTCAGCACGATAACCGACATTGCGGAGAAAATTGTCGTAACCGACTCGCTGGCCCTGTTAAAAGAAAGGGAAGTCATAGACCTAACGGGCAAGATGGGTGATAAGGTAAAGAGAGGGATTGAGAGTCTGCATGAGCGTGTTCATGGGGTAGACGGGAAAAGCGAGAGAGTAGAGAACGCCCTGATGGTAATGCAAGCCCAGGTTTCGCAGAGCAAGGCAGTACGGCCTCCTCTCCCGCCTCAGGAAGCGATCGCCCCCGCAGGTATAGCCAACCGTGGGAACAGTCGAAGGGACCCGGCCAACGAGCAGTGCAAATATTGCACGCTGATCGGACACTTCGTACGGATGTGCCCGAGGCTCAACCATGATATCGTGCTTAAACGGCACTCCAGGACCATGCACGGAAAAATTTTAGGACCTCTGGGGGAGAGAATAAATTGGAATTCGCCAGGAGGAATGCATCGGGCCGTGATTGCATTCAACAACCTAGACGCCGCTGTAGTAGAAGCTGAGCCTGTGGCGGAACTCACTTGGGGGCAGGCACAGGGACGAGGGCCCCATGCCAATTTCATCATGGAAAGCGATGGACGGGATAGGGTTAACGTAACCACTAGGCAACGGATCGCCGCAAAAAAGGTCGTGCAGGATGCGATCATGGAGGATGCGCATGAAGGACCAAATATGTCACCAGGAGTAACAGAGTCGGACAAGGACAGAGCCTATGGGAAACCTAGGGATGGGACCCCCGTCGATAAGGCAACAACGACAAAAAAGAAGTTCCGGTACCAGATACCCATCCTTGCCACGCCAGAGATCGATGACACCCTTAGTAAACTGCTAGGGACCATGGTGTCGGTATCATTCCAGACGATGTTACAGGATAGCCCTAGACTTCTGAAGGGACTCAGACACCTATTAACAAGCCAAAGGATCGAAGTAGAGGAGGAACTGGGGCACCGGGAAGAAGAGAAGCAAGAAGAAGCACCACAAGAAGTCGCAAACTTCCAGAGTGTCCTTAGCGACCTAGAGGATTTGGAAAAAGCCTTTGCGGATATTCGACTAAGCCTGCCAGATCGGGAGGGAGGTGAAGTCATGAGGGCCCCTCCCGGTACGAAGTTAAGCTTTCACGCATTACCGGTAGGCAAGCTACGGGTTCAGATCGGTTGCCACCATACGGATGCGCTAGTAGATGGCAGGGCTGAGATCACGTTCATATGATAAGACTTCGCGACGATCGCCGGGTGCCCGATAAACAGGGAAATTACCGGGAGTGTCCGGGGAGCTGGCGGGGAAATCCCTTTCTCCGGGTATATTACCAAATGCGCATTCAAAGTCGGGGTCAGGGAGTCTATAAGGTCGTTCCAACGGTTGACCGTCATCGACGAAATGGACCATGACATAATCCTCGAAAGACCGTGGTGTGCAAATGTGGAAATGATAGGCATGCATCTCCATGTTGGGGCATATATGGTGGACATAGAGGACCCAGTAACGAGACGCGGCGAGTTGCTCCGCCTCATCAGAACTAGGGGAGACAAGCCGAAAGGGAAATTGGCAACCTGGTCGCCTTCCTTCGAGGAGAGCGCTAGAAAGGGGGCTTTCGCACGAATGGAAGGAATGAGAGAGAGGGTGGAAATAATGATAGCAGAGGCGTTCAGCAAGAAGGAGTGGGTCAAGATGGGGGTTTTACAGAAAAAGCGGAGGCCGGATGAAGATGCCCTAGGAGTTATGGTAGTGGAAAAGGAAACAGAAGTGGAACTGGGAGCGAGTCTGTCAAAGCACGAAGAGCCCCGGGGCAAAGACACCAGGATAATGCTAGAAATTCCGGATCTACTCCACCTGATCAAGGCGATCAGGTATCACAAGGTAGGAGTTGACACCGCCTATCTCGCAAGGTTTGAGGGGGAAGTTCGGAAGGGCTACTGCCTGAATGGTGAGTTAGTTAGCATTCAACCTCGAATTGCGGAAGTAGCACAAGCAACCTCGGCGGTTCATTTTTTAGAAAAACGATCCTGGAAGGAAGTGTTCGCAAATATAAACCAGTAGGAAAAAAGGCGAAGCCTGTCTCGATCTTATTGGAAATGACTAAGGAAGAGGTCATGGAGAAGGAGGAAGAAGTCCTTCAAGTAATCAAGGAAAGGAGGGCAGCCGAGGGGCATAGGATACTGGACGAAGCACAGACCATGAAGATAGGTATGGAAGGGTTCCTGAAGGAACAAGAGACACGGGTAATCAAGGAGGCATGCCAGGAGTTCCACTTAACCTTCGCCTTTAATGACCACCAGAAGGGGCGGCTAGATGCAAGGTTGATTCCGCCAGTCAGAATCCACACGGTTCAGCATGAGTGTTGGAATGACAAAGGGCCCGCCTATGACTTCGGAATCGCGGGGGAGGTAACAAAGCTTCTCAAGGCAAAGATGGACTCTTTTGTGGCGGAGCCTACCGCATCGCCATACGCCAACAAATGGTTCATATTTTGAAAGCCCAACAAGTCCCTAAGGTGGATCCAGGATTTGCAGAAGTTAAACACCGTCACCATTTGAGACGAGGGGTCGCTACCCCAGGCGGACCTCCTGGCTGAATCCCATGCCGGACGCATCATTTACTCGTTGATAGATCTGTACTCGGGGTACGATCAGCTTCCGCTGGATGTCAGAGACAGATCCTACACGCCTATGCATATGCCGGTAGGCCAGTTGCAAATGCAAGTCACGTCCATGAGTTTTACCAACGCAGTAACAGAAACGCAAAGGAGGATGCTTGCGATCGCAAGGGACATGTTTCCTGCGAGGTGTGAGCCCTATATCGATGACAATCCCATAAAAGGGGCACGTGAAAAGGATGAGACGGAGGTTCAGCCGGGAGTGAGAAAATTCGTGTGGGACCACCTACAGGATATCAAAGAGCTGCTGCGAAGGTTCCTAGAGTATAATATAACTGCTAGCGGCCCAAAGAGTATCCTGGCAGTTCCGGAAGTCACCATTATGGGGTTCCATTATGGAGCATACGGAAGGAAGCCGGACCCGGCTAAGACTGACAAAATTGTTCAATGGCCTACACCCCTCCGAACCACAACAGAAGTGAGGGCCTTCCTGGGCGTCGTAGGCTTCTGGAAAATCTTTATAAAGGGGTTCACAAAGATAGCAGAACCTATTTGGGCCATGATCCGTGAGGAAGGCACGCTTGACTGGACCGAGGACCGGGAGACGATCGTCCAAACCTTGAAGAAGATACTGATATCCGAAGAAGTTACCCTTGTCGCCCCGTGCTTCAATGACGAAGTAGGACGCCCCTTCGTGCTTGAAACCGATGGGGGACCGTTAGCCGTAGGTGGGGTATTGATCCAAAAAGGCGAAGATGGGAGAGAGCGTCCCATTAGATTCGATAGTAGAACGCTCAACTCAGCCGAGCGTCGCTATTCTCAGTTGAAGAAGGAGGTGCTTGCGATACTCCACTGCCTCAAGACCTTCCAGGCGTATCTCTTTGGGAGAAGGTTCATCTTGATGATAGATCCGACCAATGTCGTGGGAGCCTTAAAGAACTATAGGCCTATCGATCCCACCGTGGGGAGATGGGTAGGGTTCATTTGGCAATTTGACTACGAGATTGAGCGTATAGCTGGTCTTAGGAATCGATCAGACGACATGAGCAGGGTGAGCCTTACGCCGGAGGGACTAAAAGAAGCAGAGTCGATCGATGCATTCCTCGATCACAAGGGAGGGACTCTGGTGGTGGATAATGAGATGGCTGGGACCGCCTGCATGACCGGAGAATTGTTGATCAAAGCGTTAGAGAAGGGGTCTTCCACGGTGGTAGCCGAACTCAGAAAAGGGGTGGTCACCAGGGTTGGACGAAAGGAGGAGAAGGACGCTTGGGGTAGTATTGTGGGGCCTCGGGAAGAACGGATGACACTAGCCATAGAAGGTGGGTGGAGAAGGGTGATGAGCGTGCCAGTGGTGGAGTCATGGGAACAGGAAAAGTAACAGTACGTAGTTAGCCAAATGTGCGACGCTCAGTCGGGCTCCCGACAGGAGGAGAAACTTTTTTCATCAAGTCATACAATGGTATTTTTATGGAGATTGTACTGTTGTTGGTAGGAAACAAGGATGGCCACGAAGTCAGTCCTAAAGCAAGGGAAAAGGCAGACAAGTATGTGCTAAGGAAAGGGCACCTGTTCCGGAAAGAGGAGGGCTTGACACCCAGGAGAGTAGTATGTGGGAGGACGAGACAGGTAGACATAATACAGGCAATGCATGATGGGTTGGCCGGCGGACATCGGTCCTCAAAGGGTACCCAAGCCAAAATAACACCACTCTATTACTGGTCAGGAATGGGCTCCATGGTTGCCATATACTGTCAGACGTGCAAAATCTGCCAGGTGCGGAGTACGACGCGGGTGTTTGAGCCACTCAGGCCCACGCGTGTGCCGGGGCCAGGGCATATGGTGCACCTCGATCTGGCAGTTATGCCAATATCGACAAAGGGGTATAGGTACATACTCGATGCTAGGGACAACCTTAGCTGGTTTGTGGAGGCCGTGGCATTAAAGAAGAAAACAGGGCTGGCAGTGGCCGATTGGGTTGAAGATTTCTACCTGAGGCACCCGCTCATCAGGAGGTTTATAGCCGACAATGAGACTGAGTTCATAAATCAAGACGTCCTTAACACCTGCAAGAGGCTAGTCGTGTCCCTCAAGCTGATTGAACCATACCACCCGGAGGCTAACGCGCCGGTAGAAAGAGAGCACCAGACGCTCAAGAACACGATTGCGAAGCTGGCAGCAGACGACCTCGGGAATTGGCCCAAGTACCTCAGGCAAGTTGTGTGCGCTGAGAACGTGACTCCTACGAGGACCACGGGATGTGTCCCGACAGAATTATGGTATGGAAGGAAAATCGACTTCCCGATAGAAACCTTAGTACCCACATGGAACAAACTGGAGGAGGACCCTCACCTCACTACGGAACAATTGATCGAGGCTAGATGCGAGCAGGCGGCTAAAAATGAGGAACCCTTGGAAGAAATTGTGAACCGGGTCTTCGATAGTCGGATGAAGGATAAGACCAGGTGAGACCAACTGAAGAATATCAGGAAGAAGCTATTGCAAGTGGAAAAAATGGTTCTGATAAGGAATTCGGCACTAGAAAGCACATGGTCAGGACAGCTAGGACGAAGATTCAAGGGGGCCTATCGTGTCACTAAGAGGATGGGAATGAACACCTTTGAGCTTGAGGACTTGGATGGGACCAGCATAAAAGGGTCATTCCCTGCGCAGCGGCTGGTCAGATTCCTCAGCAGGGATCCGGTGGAGCAATGACTACAAGAAGCTCAGGACAAGGAAGCAGAAGAATAGGTCGCTCAGTACGGCGAGAAGGATTCTACTTATCACATGCATTTCTCTTTGCCTTTGTTGTTTTTCTTTCTTTCGTGTATGTGTGCATGGGAAGGACATGGGATCCAGTTGGGACACTGTACCATAGTTTTTGTGGGGACACTGGGGATGGATGCCAAGGGCTGGGCATTGTATCATAAGGGTGGGGATGAGGAAATCTCTGAGGGCAAGATGCCGTGACTACCCAATGGGATAAAATGAGGCTTGGTGGCGCATGTGACCAAGACTTGGGATGCGACCACGTGTTTGGGGAACCGGGTGGCCATAAGGACGAGACATGACTGGACTTGGGGAGGGCTCCATAATGGGGGTGCATTGGGGCCTTTCCTTTTCCTCTGTTGATATTGATTACAGGCACAGAAGACAGCCCAAGCAAGATGAAGTTCAATAACAAGAATTTCATTAACCAGACAAGCACCGCTTGTGAGGATCCGTGGAGGCAGTCAGGTAGACCGCGAGATAGACAAAGACCGGTGCTGGTTATTGGGCCACAACCAAGAGCATCACTAGGGAAAAGAAAGAGGAAGTTGTCTGTTTGTAAACCCTCGCCTACCAAGGAAGACGAGGTACTACCCGCCTGGTCAGAAGAGGAGGATGAACAGGGAATGAATGGGAAGGGGGAAGAAACTAAGCAAACCAATCATAACGAGGAAAGGCAGGAAGGAGAGAATAGTGATCCGGAAGATGACGTTCAGGAAGTCATTGCAATAAGCAGTGAGGACGAGACGGATGAGATATCAAGGCCACGAGAGGAAAGAGAGTCTTCGACAAAAAACCCGGATAAAGGAGCCACCAATTGGGAAGAAGAATTTGGGTCAACGTCCAGTCACTGGTTTGAGCAATGGACAAGTGTGGTTAAGCACGAGTGGATAATTAAAGCACAAAAGTTGATGGTGGCCGGGAGAACACCTACGTCGTTGGACTTTTTCACTGAAAAGGATATGGAGTTGGCAAAGGAAAAGAGGGATGAGATTCGGACTTATGGGTTGGGCATGGAGCCACCCTCGAGGGATAGCAGCGAGAAAGGGGCTAAACGCCAAATGACAAATTCAAGTGCTATGAATTAAGGATGGGTTGGCAAGAGAACATGATGGCAAGAGCAAAGGGCGGCCAGAATTGAGATTGTCGGTTGGGTCGTGGAAGGCATGAGATTTGCAGACTAGATGAACTGGACTTTCTTTTTTTTTTTTGAGATTCTGCTAAAGGAACTTTTGAAAGGGACCGGTTGGGACAAGTATGCCAAGCCGTGGTATGTAGAGACATCTGCTAGATTGAAACTTGTCAACAGACACGGGGTGGGATAAGATAAGAGGGAAATAACAACTTTTTGTATGAAGCTACTTTTTTATTTCAATTTTGTAAGGTTGGACGAGAAATGGATTAAGACATGAGCACTAAGTGTTGTTTCTCTAAGTGAAGGTATTTTTGTTCTTGGGAGCCATGAGACTGGTTGTAATGGATGGACATGGGACTTGACGTAGGATCGGTTGCAAAGATTATAGGTTAAAAAAAAAATGTATGTTCACATATGTGAGGATCAGGTTGTACATTGTCAGAGAGGTTAGGGAACCTATGGGTAGAACGGCATGACAATGCTTTCCCCTAAGAGCCTAAACCAACCGAGCCAACACCATGTTGCAAGTCATGAAAGTGAAACGAACAAAGTATGTGAGACACTGGGTTTATGGTTGAACGGTCGGGCGGGCTAGCGTTGCCGAAGGTTGGATGTTTCCGCCTGCACACTAGACGTTAAGTCGGATGCATTCGAACGAAAAGGGACAAGCAAAAAACTTTGATAAGGAAAATTTGAAGAGATAGTATGCGGAAAACTGATGGCCACCACCTAACCCCCAAGGGATATTCGGATCTGAGCCTCCCAAAGCCCATCCCCTCGGGCGTCGGTACTGGAATTGGAAAATGAATGACCCTAACCAGGCTGTTCAAAGAACAGATTTGGAAAATGAATGACCCTAACCAGGTTGTTCAAAGATCAGACTTGGAAAAGGAATGACCCTAACCAGGCTATTTAAGGATGAGATTTGAAAAATGAATGACCCTAACTAGGCTGTTCAAGGATGAGATTGGAAAAGAAGAATGACCCTAACCAGGTTGTTCGGAGATGACCCCTTACAAGGGTTGCCTCTTTGGAAATGGGCACTGGGGTCCCTTTGCATGACTGTCTGTGGATTGGCTGCCTTATGAATGAGTAAGAAAATGGCCGTCGGGTCGGCCATTGAATTTGACATATTGAGAAAGGGTCGTCGGGTCGGTCATTGAAATGGACATATTGAGAAAGGGCCGTCGGGCCGGCCATTGAAATGAACATATTGAGAAGAAGGTCATTGGGTCGACCATTGAAAAGGGAAGTTGGAAAAAAGACCGTCGGGACGGTCATTGAAGCGGAGGACTTGAGAAAGAGGCCGCCGGCTTGGCCATCGAAATAAAGAGATTGAGAAAAGGAAGTTGGGAAAGAGACCGTCGGGACGGTCATTGAAACAAGATGAGTTGAGAAGGAAGGCTGTTGGGCCAGCCATGAGAAAAAGAAAGCGGCAGATGGATCAGCCATGAGAAGAGAAGACCGCCTTTGATTGAAAAGAGGCTGCCGGATCAGCCATGAGAATCAACCTTGAGAATCAGCCTTGTGAAAGACTTGGAAAGAGCTTGGAATTGAATGCTTACTTGAGAATTGGAAATTGCATTGCATACATAAGGGACCCTAGGCAAAAGATGAAAGGTCGTCGGAACGACCATGAAAATAACAAGAGATTGAGTCTAGCAACCTTTTTCTAGTCCCAGGGCCCGATATGAGGGGGAAAGCGGTGCTCGCACCACGACCCCAGGACCGCTTTCCTTTAAGGAAATGTCCAAGCGCGACCTATTCCTCATTAGCAGGATAACAGGTTAAAGGATCAAGGTATCAATGCGATACTGCATATCCGGAACCAGCTCCTGCAATGAACTATAGCCGGAGGGTTTAAATTGCGCCTCATGTCGAGTTCCTAAAAGTCCAGGGCGCCAAGATGGGCCGAACAGTTGCTCTTCTAAGTCTTTATGACCCTCTCCAACCACACACCACGCTGTTGAGGGGCAGCCTAGCCGTTTGGGAAAGGACCTAGGCCGCTCGCGCTAAGTTGAGGGGCACGTCCACGGGAAAGGTCCGACGAGGTACCGGGTGGAGCCGCAACCACCACGGGGCATTGACACCGCCCCGTCGGAGCATTACAACCGTTCCGGGACTAACCGCGAGGTCTTCGTAACTGCACTTGCAGACTAAAAGAGAGCCTCAAATCTCTTGAAATGGGAGAGGCCGGATCCGCAAAAAATTACCACTTAGGGGGGACCAGTCGCGAGGGGGCCACTGTTGGGCACGATGGGATCCTGGGAGGTAGGGACCAGTAGACCTGCCTTACGGATGCGAGGAATCGCCTCAATGCTGATGCCCATCTCCAAGCTAGTGGCCGCCGGACTAGGGTAAGGGGTGAGGTGAGTTATCAGCAAGGGAAGGACTGATCACCCTTCCTTTTAGGGGCTGATGGGTCGGCACCCGCTTACTCAGTTGGCATGCAAGGTCTGTGTGTCTCCAAGTGAGAACCAAAGACGCGATGGGGACATAGCGATTGAGTGCTGGGAAGGTGTGTCACCTACCTAAAGACAAAGCGTATAAATGAAACGAAAACCAAGGATGCGTGGGTAAGAAAATGCCTTGAAATGGTTGAGCTGGGCCAAACGGGGGCCTGACAAGATGCCCAGAAGAGAAATGACTTGTGCAATTGGCTTTGCATGGGTCTGAAAAAGGGGTCTGGCAAGATGCCCAGAAGAGAAAGGGCTTGTGTAATTGGCTTTGCATGGGCTTGAGAAAGGAGCCTGACAAGATGCCCAAAAGAGAAAGGACTTGAGTAATTGGTTTTGCATGAGCCTGAAAAAAGGGCCTGGCAAGATGCCCAGAAGGGAAATGACTTGTGTAATTGGCTTTGCATGGGCTTGAAAAAGGGGCCTGGCAAGATGCCCAAAAGAGAAAGGATTTGCGTAATTGGCTTTGTATGGGCTTGAGAAAGAGGTCTGGCGAGATGTCCGGAAGAGAAAAGACTTGTGTAATTGGCTTGCATGGGCTTGAGAAAAGAGTCCGACAAGATGCACAGAAGAGAGATGCATATGAAATGGACCAAGTAATGCGCATGTGAAGATAATTAAGATGGACGCAAGAAATGGTGGAAAAGGGGGATGCATGCGAAATTGGCAGGACTAGAGAAAGGCCGGGCGAAATAGCCGGGGAGGAATGCATGTGAATTTTGTTTGAGGAAAGAGTGACGGAAAACATGGATTGCACGAGCCGAAAGACCCGAATAGAAGAGGCATTGAAAATGACGGAAAACATGGATTGCACGGCCCGAAGGACCCAAATGGAAGAGGCATTGAGAGTGACG